CGAGAAAGATCTAGACAAGACAGAAGATGTGGGTATTCTAGAAACCCAGGACACACGAGAAAAACATGTCCACTTCTGTTGTCATCAAGTAACAATTGATGAGGAAATGATGTATTTGTTTATCAAATAATAATTCTTGTACTTTAATTTGCATTTACTTCAAGTTAATGATAACCAAATTGGTATTTGAATATAATTTTAAATACAACAAACTTACAATAAGTATTAAATGGTAAATGATAACCAAATTACAATAACTGATATTAAATGGTAATAAACAAAATTAATTGAAATACATTAAAAAAAGTCCAACAAATTTAACAAAATAAAGTAAGTATTAAATGAGAAATAATAAAAAAATTACAATTTAACAAAATAAAGTAAATACAAATATAAAAAAAAATCTATCGATGCCTGCGACGCGAATGTGTTCCACAGGGCGGTGGCTGTCGGTCTCGATGAGGATTTCTTCGAATCACTGGTTCTGACTCCTCATTGTCGTCATCATCACCGTCATCATTATCGTCGTCGTCGTCGTCGTCCTGAGCAGATATATTAGGTTGATGAGGAGCTGATGACGATGAAGCACCTCCATAGAATAAGGACCCTGGAGGTGTATGACTGACTATCCCACCAGCCTGCGAAAACTGGGAAAACCCAGACATCATTGAGTGTGAAAACTGTACAGGAGGTGTCTGTGCTGCGGCCATGGGTGATGAGGCTGAACCCGCCAAATATCCAGTATATGAACCCCAAGTCAGATCTGCAAAAATAGACCCATAATAGCCTTCAGGAGGGGTCATCTATGACGGTGAAGGCGGCGGCATGGGCATCTGGTAATGGAAAGGCGATGACGGCATCATATATGGTTGTGGCATCATAAATGGCTACGGTGGCTGCTGTGAAGGTCCTGCTGGTGCAGCTGAGGATGAACCGGAAACACCTGCTCTCCGTCCACGAGTCAAGGGACGATGGTGCTGTGTCGGTGAACGTCTCTGTCGACTTCGTGGAAATGTCTGCCCTCGTGCATCCTCGAGAAGTAGAAACGGTTTCCCGTTACTGTTAAACCACTCTTAATAATCCTCAGCATACATAAAGAAGTTAGTAAAAATGGGCTCTCTACGTGGAAGGCGCCGATGTCGATCCTCCCACAACACGACCCACTCATGATGCCTCACCAGCCAATCTGTATCTGTCTTGCCGCGTCTATCTAAGCTATGCAACTCGTCCATATTGCGAGGTGCTCCCGAAATTGGTTGAAAACAGCCAAATTGCCAGAGCACGTGATCAGTAGAGTGTCACTCGACGGTCGCATAACAGATCAGAGGGACCATCGCCATCCAAACATCTGATGGGCCCCTCAACTCAGGTGGGATCACCACCCTCACATCATCAGTAGAATATGGCACCCATTCAAACTAAAACAAATATATATAATTTTTATCAAAATAATAATCTAATTATATAACTATAATCTAAAATCGATTTTTAAACATTAAAATTCATACATGTGTGCCAGCCTTCTGATCGATTAACACCCTAATTTTTTCTAAATCATCAGGTAGCTCCTGATGATTTTTCCTATCAGTAGACTACCTATTCAAGGAAAAAAAATTATACGCTGTATAAAATTATTAATATACAAAATCAGTTTTATAATTACCTCAGAAGTAGTGGAAATACGAATGGGTTCTTCACAACGGGACATAAAAAGGGCAATCGATACCATGCCCAAGACTGCAGCAGCAGGAGACATCCGCTGATAGTATTACGCCTGTAGTCAATGGCTCCACACATCTCCTTGTACAGCAAAGCCAAAACTGCCGAGCCCCAACTGAATGATCCGGCGAGACGAAAGTCGCTAAGATGTCGCAACCACATGCAGTGAACTAAGTTGCGCGATTTGTCCGGCATCAGCAACCCTCCTATCATCTGCAGTATGCATGCCGTGCTACATCTAACCTCATCCTCAGAGGCGTCTGCGCTCAACTCCCGAAAATTGGCATCTAACCAATTTAACGGTACCCTACCTCCGATAAAATTTTCCGGGACACGTCCTAGACTATCCCGACACCAAGTAGTCCAAGAACCGGAAGCTATCCCCGATATCACATCTCCATTCACCGGAAGCCCCAGGTGCATAAAAACATCCTCAAGCGTGATCGTGCACTCCCCGCACGGAAGATGGAATGTGTGGGTTTCCGGCCTCCACCGCTTTACTAAGGCAGAAATCAGGTATGGCTCTATCTTACAGTGACCCTGATATCTACCTATGTACTGAATCCAACCTCTACTAAATACGGCAAGACACGGCTGGGTATCACTAACTTAAGATTCCTAATAAAAGGATCTAATACACGGTCCTTCTCCTAAAAATAAATAATTACAAAAATTATTTCTTAATTTAATAATCATGTATTAAATAAATCAACTAATTATTACTAATAATTTAAATTAAATTAAAACGTTAAAATATTACTGTATCAGCAAAGTGTCGAGATATTTAATTCTTAATCTAATAATCATGCATTAAATAAATCAATTAATTATTACTAATAATTTAAATTAAATTAAAACGTTAAAATGTTACCGTATCAGTAAAGTGTAGAGATATATGATTTCCATCCGAGCGAAGTAGACTGCATTCCATTATATATCTACAAAAGAATTATATTACTAAAATATTAAAATAAAGTAAATACTTAAATAAATTAAATACATAATACTAAAAATATTATAAAATATATCTTAAAAAGATAGAGTATTTGAGAAAAATTAAGAGAATTTGGTGTGATAAAAGTGATTGAGGATGGGAGTATTTATAGGGATGATTGGGATGTGGATGAGGGAGTATTTAGGGGTATAGCGTGCCCCCTGCACCGCGCTATACCCCACGTGTCAGATAATCAGGTATAGCGCAGATCAGGGGGCGCGCTATACCCACATGACGCCAAATCAGCATATAGAGCGGTGCAGGGAGCGCGTTTTACTGCTACCGGTGTTAGATCAAAAAATATAATCTGACCGGTATTAAATCGATAAATATACCAATCACCGATGATTATTTTTGGGAAAAACACCTCATAACACACCACATGACCCCTTAATTTTTATTTTTTATTTAAATAAATAAAAATCTATTAATTAAAATAAAACTTCCATTATACCAAAAATGCCTCCCAAAGCCTCACAAAAAACCCCTCCATTTTTTTGCTGAAATAGAGGTTGGTGACAGAGAAACCAAGATCGGCGGCAATGGATAGAGCATCGGACATTCCTCCGATGCGCCTCGATGGCTTCTTCCCGACCCGTGTCGTATCGGTAGATATTTTTTAATGGCTTCTAACCTATATCTCGAGTATTTTATTCTTTCCGAGGATTTGAGGGAAGGTCTTCAGATTCAGTCTCTTCCGGTTGCTGTGAAAGTTCATGTCGGAGATAATAGTTATCAAGGTCACCGGGAATGGCTGGTAATTTTCTTTTCCCTTTCTTTTTGAGCTTATTTTCCGGGACAATGGTATTGGATGAGAAAAGGGGTTTGTTTTTGTATAAAAACTGCAATGGAGTAATTAATTAGTTCCAAATTTGATCATAATTTTTTCCACCTACAAAGAACAAAATACAGACAACAAACCCTATTTGGCTAGCTTCTTCCCCGAAATTGCTAGCTTCTCGGTCCCGCCATCCGCCCCCGCATCAACTCCGGTGTTAAAGTTGCCTTCGAATGGTTATATTCTCATTGGGTTTTGATTCAGGTCGGGTTGATTGCTCCACCGCTTCAACTCCTGGCAAATGTCTGCATTGTTCTTTTCTTAACCCTAAGTTTAGATAGGTTAATCCTCTGTGTAACGAAAAAGAGGTAAACAACAAGAAAATTACCATTTTTTTAAGGTTCGAAAGGAACCCGTTGTTTTGTTTATGGTTTGAATTTGAATGAATGAATATATATATATATATTGCAGGTTTACAACACTTCATTGCTGCAATATGCAAATTGGATGGCCAAGGTCGAAAATTTTGATTCAAGTTTTGAATGATTCTGACGATCGTTAATTTACAGAGGTGTTGGGGTTGGGAAAGGAGGGTGATGTTGATGGTGGAGATGAAGAGGGGCAACTTCGGTAGTTTATATGTTTTTATTTTATTAATTAATTTTTATATATTTAGATGCCAAAAATAAAAAATAAGATGTAATATGACGTGTTCTGATTGGTTAGTGAGATTTATTTTTAGCGGGTTGATGGAATGTGGTAAATTGATTAACGATTTATAATTGAAAGGATAAAACGTCTTTAAAAATGCTTTAAGGAGTAATTTTTAACTTTGAGGTCGTGGGATCGAGTCTCACGGAAGGTATTTTATAATTTGGAGGTCTCTCACGGAAGCTGCTCTCAACCTGGCGTTGGGGGCAGTCTACTATCCTACCTCCTCTTACTCAATTACATATGGGAATAAGGGTCAGTTAATTTTTTTTTAAAAGATCTACTAATTTTAAACAAATAGTTTGATTTTTTTTCATTATTATTAAACAAATAGTTTGATTCTTAAATATGTACGAAATAATTTATTTTGAATCTGAAATTATAAAATTTAAATAAAATTTATAGAGTTTTTAAAAAACACTAATTCTAAATGAATTTTAAAATTACAAAATAAATAAAAATAAATCTTATCTAATTAAAATCATGAATGATAAATCAAATCCAATCAAAGTAAATATATTAAAATAATAATTAAACAAAAATTAAACCGAAATTCAAACCAAATATTACAATTTAAATCAACTTGTATAACACCATGAGGGGTGGACCCCAAACGTGTCAGTGACTCAGATCGTAACTCCACCGAGTTGATACATGCTCACTCGCATTCAAAACGGAAGATTCCTTAGAATATACCATTCTTAACCCAATCTTCGCTCGAAACTCGTACCGCTTACGGATAAAGCCATCCTTTTCCCATATAAATCAAGCCCTCTTTTTCCCCATTTTCCTCACAAATTTAAAATCTCTCGAGACGTATTCCACTCAATCAATCATGAGTTCTTACACTCTCTCTGAGTCAGAGCAAGAACTTCTCTTGGAGAAACTCGATGTCTTCAAGGTCCAAGGCAGAGACAAACGAGGCCGTAATGTTCTTATCATCATCGGCAAGCACTTTCCCGGTAAAAAAACAACAACATATTGCATTTTTTCTTTATAAGTTTTCTGGGAAAATTGTATCTTATCTGTTTTAATCTGATTGTGTTTTGTTTTTTCTAAATGGGGATTAGCTCGGATGGTTAGCGGTGAGGTTCTGAAGAAGTATTTGGAAGAAAAGATTTACCCCAAATTAGAGAAAAAGCCCTTCTCTGTGGTTTATATACATACAGATGTTCAAAGGAGTGAAAATTTCCCTGGAATCTCAGTTCTCAGATCAATCTTTGATTCTATTCCGATTAACGTCGAGAACAATCTCGAGGCTGTTTATTTCTTGCATCCTGGTTTACAGGCCCGGCTTTTCCTCGCCACTTTCGGCCGTCTGTTTTTCGATGGAGGGTGAGGATCTCTTTCGATTATTATAACATTATTGAATTTCGAATCAACAGGCCCACTCTGGCCCCACTTTAGCTATTTATGATACCGACAAAAATTATTATGTCGATTGTGCTTTTTTTTTTTTTTTTGTGATTCCTCGACTTTTTAGTTGAAGGGTCGTTTTTGAAAGTAGATTTGTATTGAATGATGGGATTTGGATCGCAGGTTGTATTCGAAGCTCAAGTATGTGAGCAGGCTTGAGTTTCTGTGGGACCATGTGAGGAGGATGGAGATTAAAGTACCGGAGTTTGTGCATGATCACGACGACGAGCTCGAGTACCATCCGATGATGGATTACGGGTTGGAAAGTGACCACCCTAGAGTATACTCCGAGCCGCCCTCGAAGGATCCTATTTCGGTGTACTCTATGAGGTGCATAGCGTAAGTCTTGGTAGAGTTTGAAAAGCTGAAGCCGTAGAGTTTTTGTTGATGCGGTTATGGCTTTTTTGGTTTGTTGACAGGGGAGCGTTTTAGGGTTTTTGATATTGTACAAAGGGGAAGTTTGTGTAAATGGTGCGACTTCACTGGCTAAAATCTAACTGTTGAAATGAAAGAGTGAAAACAGAGCAAGGCCCTGTTTTTTTAAAACAAATTTTAATATCATCTTGGCTACTTGGTTCTCTGAGGTACAAGACAGAATGAAATAATGTTATAATGTTTGCATCTGCCACTTTTTCAGAAAGATGCAAATAAATGGCAAATCCTGTGGTCTTGATGCTAAAGTTGTGTTTCTATATGGTAAAATTATGTAAACAAGAGCATAAAGAATTAAACAATATTATCACATAAGAGCAGCGATTTGTTCATCGTTAATAAGAATTTGCAGAAACTGGAACAGAACGTGTTTGGTAATCTTCATCTTTAATTTGTTTGCTCAATATCTGGATATGATCTTCGACGACAGAGACCTGAACACTGTCTTTTGTTTATTGAGTCAATTGCGAGTTGAACCGTACTAGACACGTGCTAGTTAAATTTTGTTGCTCAATTCGATTTGTTGCTAGTTAATCTAGTTAAAATTTTACTCTACACGTGTTCATTTCTCGACTCGTTGCTCGTTAAGTTCACTAAAAATTTTATCTTATTTTTTATCTATACAGAGCTCAATATAAACATAAATTAACAAAATAAATCCAAAAAATTATTAAAAGAGTGTATGAATCAATTTTAGAGTCAAAACTCCAAGATAATAATCCATAAATACACTAAACTAACATGTTAAAACTGAAATAACAATCTACAAATACATCAAACTAACATATTAAAAATATTCCTAAAAAAAGTTCATCGATACATAATCAATCCTAAAAATAAGAAAATAAATATTTATTTACTCCATTAATTTTTGCTTGCAATCACCAAAGTACTAAAAATATATAAAAAAATTAACGAGTTGCTTGCAAATTTATCGAGTCGAGTTGAATTTTGCTCGATTTAATTTATTAAGGTCTCGCGTCGAGCTCGAATCAAATCAATCTGAGTCAAATATTTACCAAGTTTTGACCGAGTCAAATTTAAACATTCACTAGATGCTACTCATCAAGCACTCCAGGTTCCTTGTTCACTCCTCTTAGTCTCATCAACTTCTAGTCTCTTTCCATGCTAAAATCTAACATGTACCCTCTTAAAGAGGATCATACTCACTCCATAGTAATCTAATATATACAAAGAGGATCATACTTATTTTGTATTAGTAATTTGATGTTTTATATTTAAAATTTGATATATTTATTAGATAATTTATTAAACATAATAAAAATAATTTACAAATAAATTTATTTAATTTTACTCGTTTGTCTTATTCATTTTTTTTAATATTTGTTATTAGGCATTAAAATATTAGAAACTGACATGTTATGAGCCAACCATGATATCATCGCATTCTATAACACTATATCTCTCCATGGCATCCTTCTAAAGGCTAGGCTCTATCTTCGTGATGGAAGCTGTGCTTAATGGTACATGCATGTTAAAAGGGTTAGTTAACCAATGTTAAAAGATATAGTTAGCCAGTATGTTAGTTGAGTGTGAGTTTAGTAGGTGGACTGATTATTGTATAAAAGGATGGTTAATCTCTGTATAGAAACACACATAATATGCATTCTTCATACTTCCAGAAACCGTATTGCTTTCTTTTCCTTGTTCATTACTAATTGATCTCATAATAAAATTCATATTTTCTTTTCATTTGACCACCATTTTTTAATTTTTTGTGAAATGAAAAGAAAGTATATTTCATTAATTTGAATAATTAATTTAATATTACATAAATAAATCATAGAGAAATGATTAATATTTTTTGAAAATATATTATTTTTATTTTTATTAAGAAAACACCTTAAATACAACTAAAAGAGAATACATATAAAAAATCGAATACATGTATGATATACATTTTGATTTTGAATAATAAATAAATAAAAAGAATTTTATATTATTTTATTGTTAGATTGAGATTGAATAAGACTGAAAAGAGTAAGATTTGATAAAAGAAAAAAAATGAATAAATTTAATTCAAAATTGAATGAATAAATAAGATAAATGACGGGGGAACTAAACATTTAATGGAATTATAAAAATTAGGGGCCCTAATTATAAATATAAAAAATTGAATAAATTTTAATTCAAAATTGAATGATTTAATAAGAGAAATGGAAAAAAGGATAACAAAATTTAAAAAATTATGAAATTATAAATATTAGGGACCCTAATTATAAATATAAAAAGTTGGGATCCTAATTGTAAATACAAAAAAATGGGGGCCTTGAGTGGTTGCTTAGGGTGCTGCCCTTAGAGCCGCCTTTATTTAATCAAGTCATTAGCCGTCAGCATTTAACGGAGTCTATTAAAAAAATAGTATAATTATACGTTTAGTTCATAATTGTATATTTTATTAATTTAATTATAATTTTAATTCAATTTAATGAATGTAATCTCTAATTTATGATAACATGTGTTCCAATATGATTAGAGAGAATTTACTTAATTTAATTTTATTTATTTATTTTAAATCCAATCAGACAGTGGCACGTCTCACCATCAAATTGGATGAAAAACTAATTGAAAAAAAAAGCAATAAACTGGTAAATAGGCTAGCAATCGAACAAGGGATTTAAGGATATTACCACAAGACCTGAACCACTAAGCTAGACCATTTAATTGGATTACGACTGCAGCATTTGAAATATATCATATTACAACTAATGTGCCACTCGGGTCTTCTTCTTCAAACTTCATCCTCTTCTACTCCATCAATAAACTGCAGGAAATGGAAAGAGGTTAATCAAAGATCATACCACTTATCTAAGAGTCGATTAGAATTAAACTCAGAAGAGGAACAGAGGAGACTAAGGAAATCAATCATTAGTTACAACATCAGAAGTGAGAGGGAGGAGATGAAAGAGGAAGAGGATGAAGTTTCACGAAAAAAGACCCGGGTGACACGTTTTCCGCATAGTTGCATTCCTTACCTTGGGAAATCTGGTAAGGAATTATTAAATACTAGTAAAGTAATGCTATATACGTATAGAGGAATGAAATGATGGAGGTGCATGAGGAAGTATGATAATTGAATGTGAATTGGGAGGTGGTCCGCATGCATCAAAGGGAGCTTAGCTTTGCCACAGTGAGCCAATAATCATGGATGCATGGCCACATATACACATCCTTATTGGTTTTCATTTTTAAACCTCGTTAACTTTATATATGTTGGGGAAATTGTGTTATTTCCACACGAACGTAGTTTTAAAATTGACCTAAAATGTTAAGATTAAAACCATCAAATGTTGCACAGCGGATAAACATGTCAAATTATTGAATATTGAAACACAATAGAAAAGAACCGAATAAAAACAATAAAGGAGAGAACACACTAAATTTACGAGGTTCGACGAGAATATCGTCTACTCCTCGGGTACCACACCGGATGATAACTTCACTATATCGCCAATATTACAACAAATGGAATTCTTTAGAATTCCCAAAGTGGGAGAATGAAGAATACAAGAGGAAGAGAGAACTTGTTTTTGGGATGATTTCTAATGGAAATACTTAGGCCTATTTATAGTTGAGTTTTAAGAACAATATGTTCAAAGTTTGGTCACCTACCAAAGAATTTTCCAATGTGTATAAGTTAGCCACCAAATATGAAATTCACATGTTCAAAGTTTGACCACCAACCAAGATGAAATTTCTAACTTGTCAATTTAATTTCTAGACAAATCTAACAATATATATATATATAACTTGCAACAGCTACATCGTAGCATAAAACTACTTTGTCCCTACGATTACATTATAGCATAAAGCCTAGCTAGCTTTACAAAAAGGAAGACAGGAAAAGTATACGAGAATAAAAGTTGACACTTGAAATATCACAAGGCGCATGAGCTTTAACAAGAGCTAGCTAGCCAAGATTAATGATGTGCTTTAAATTAAAATGGAGACTGCAAAGTTATTTAGTTCCCTATATCAAAATCCTTTGATATGATTAGCCAGTTTTCAATTCTTTATATGATGCCCCTTTTTCCCTTCACCGATCAAACCTTTTTTACCCTACTGAAAAAGTCGAAGACAGAAAGCCTAAACTACTATCCTGCAGTTCTTACTGTTTATTGAAATAGTTAAAACAATCAAAACTTCCATTGTCATTCAAAGTTCGTGGACCTTTTCTTTCTAACTTTTTTTTTTATGATAAGGGGACACATGATTTTAAGTTGGGATAAACTTAAACCTATAAAATTTAAAAAAACGAAAACAGATTTTCAATAAAAAATATATAAAAAAATATAAAATATGATAATTTTATATCTATAATCCCACCCACTCCCCCTAGGTACATCCATGTATATGACATTGGTTTAATTTTAAATTACTATTGAGTTTCCTGGTTTAATATGATATTGACATGACATTTAATTGAGCATTTATTTAGTTACACCATCATTTAATGTAGTCATTAATTTTTGTCTTAGTGAGAAATAAATAATTTTGAGTATACATTTTGTTTGGTGGATGATTCTTCTACGCTCCACGAGTAACGATGTGTATCGCTAACGACGAGAGCACCATCTATTATAAACTAGTTAAAAGTTTAAAGATAAATTATTTAAAATAAAATGTGAACTATATCATTGACCAACTAACTATTGTCCTTTTTTCATTTTGACCAATATTTTTGAAATTTTGTCAATCAAGTCACTCAACTATTTAAATGCATTCAATTAAGCCACTTGCCATTAATATTTAACAGAGAAGCTGATGTGATAGTTAAAATAGTTAGTATAATTACACATTTGGTCACTGTTACATATTTTTTTTTCAATTTGGTCCTAATTTTAATAAATTAAAATAAACTTAACTCTCAAATTTTTAATTTTAAAAGATTTTAAAAATTACGACATATTCTATATTTATAATAAAATAAAATGTTATTAGAAATTGCATTTAACTGCCATAAATGAACAATATCTTTGTTCATATTCTCCCATCTTTAAAATTCCAGCCACATTATGACAATTATGAATAATTTTTAAAAATTGTTCATAAACAAGTTTAACCTTTCAAAATGATCGATATTCAAATTTGCA